TGGCAGCAAGGGTAATCCTACACATAAACAATCCCTCAAATAAGCAAAATGAGAGAAATATCTGAAGTTCAGCAGTTATTAACAAACAAATCCCTGCTCATAAACCCCACCGTCCCCACAGATCAATGCTTTGAGAGACATCTGAAGCTTTGTAAACTAGAAGAGGTAATAGGATTAAAGCTGCAATATGACAAGACAGCTAATTTTTAATTATTTCTAACTCCTTTCTAATTTCTACTTCATCCTGAATATTTAAAAACCTTTCCAAATGTATTTCACAGGTTTCAATAACAACCTAGTAACTGGATGTGGCATTATAGCAATTTATAATCACCTCCCAAAATGGGGATCTAAATTAATCTTTCTACATCTCATTAGTTTAGCTATCAGAGATCTTTTACAAGATAATTGGCTTTCAGTGGCTTTAATTTAATTTAATTTATTAATATCTTACATATATATTTCATAGTTGCTGTTTTAATTATTGAACTGACACATCTCAGAAACATAACTCTTTTATACAGCACAAAACTTTTGCTTTTAGGGCTCTAGAGCCTTTTAAAGATGTTTTAATGATAAATAATAAGTCCTTGTTTGTGTTTGCCTTTAGAGTGGATATCAATTTCCTTTTGCCTTAGGTTCTCGCAGAGGAAAATTAGATCTTGTTTTGGAACATCCTGTTTTGCAGATGAAGCTGCCTTTATTGTTAAACCAAAGCGTGTTCCAACTTTGTAATGCCATAAAAGCACAAACGAGGGGAGCCAGAAGTAGCAGAAAGGATGTGGAATAAGGAGCCGATTCATAGCTGGCAGGTATTTGTATAAATTATTCATTGGGCAGCAGAGCTAGGGAAGCTGAGTGTCCCATGGTGTGTCCCATGGCTGAGCTCCCCAGTGCTGGCACCAAAGCTGCCCTGCCTGGAGCTTCTCTCGCAGCCATCAGGTGCTTGCTCTTCCTGCACCCACACCACTAGCTGGGTCTGGGGGCTCCCCACCTTCCCCCTGGCTAATTAATCTGCAGCAACACAGTGTGTGGAGGCTTCCAGCCTGCCAAAAACTTTGTCTGAAATGTCCTCACCAAATCAGTGAGGACAGACAGACAAGCACACTGCACAGCTGACCCCAAGAACATCCTTCCTTCGGAAACCAGCCTAAAAATATGTTCCTTCCTAGAGCAGAATAGCAGCGTTGAAACATCTGACAGTAAATGTGATGATGATAATTGATGCTTAATGAATAATCCAGGGTAGCTTTAATATTTAACTTCACAGAATACCTTTTGTCCCCAGGAGCTAAACCAATTTATAAAAGGTGTACTTTTCCCCTGCAAGGCCTTCTTTAACCATGAAATACACCGTGTCATGGGGAGCAGCTACACAACTGGCCTGCACCGGGCAGGTTGCACAGCACTGCAGCAGAGAGGGGCCTGGTCCCTTTGTCCTGCTCCAGGACCTGCTCAGAGTGAGGCCATCTGCAACACCTGGGCTGGGGCAATCCCAGACATGAGTAGAGATAGGGAGAAGAACTTGAGAGCTGCACTGATGAAGACTTACGGGTTCTCAAGGATGCATCATAAGCAGCACTGTCAATAGGTTGAGGGAGGGGATCCTGTCCCTCTACTCTGCCTTTGTGAGACCCCACCTGGAGTTCTGGGCCCAGCTCTGGGGTCCAGCAGAAGAGAGACACAGACCTCTTAGAGACAGTCCAGTGGAAGGCCAGAAAGATGCTCAGAGGGCTGAAGCACCTCTCCTGTGAAGACAGGCTGAGAGAGCTGGGGCTGTTCAGCCTGGAGAAGAGTAGGTTCCAAAGAGACTCTAGAGCAACTTCAAGTACTTAAACGGGACTTATTAAAAAAAGGGAGAGTGACTTTTTAAATTGACAGATTGGGATAGGACAAGGGGAAATGGTTGCAGACTAAATGTCGGAATCTGTGGGTATTGGTGATTCCGAGATTGTAGAAAGTCTCTGTCTTTCTGCCCCGTTGCCAAAGAAGAAGTCATAATTCGTCTGTGCTGTTTTCAAGGTTGTTTATTTTTGCTTATCTATAACATGTTCTGCTGCCCTGCCGCAGGTCTGTGCTGCAGGGCAGCGTGTGGGGCTCTGCCCCTCAGTGGGATGTTACAAACATTATATACCAGAAACTACGTGTGCTATATTTACAATAATGTGCCAATATCTGTCACCTACATTGAACAGTGTGTCCCCAGCCTAAACCAACAGAAAAATGCCAACACTACAGTGAAACATGGAGGGCATGAAGAAGGAGGAAAAGGACACGACACACCCAATTTCCTCCATCTTGTCCCCTCTGAACCCCTAATCTAGAAACCTAAAATTTTACCTTTGCACCCGTGTCACACTTAATTATTACTCTTATCAAACACTCAAAGCTTGTAATTCATCCTGTAAGATTGAAAACTCCTCTCCATGGACAGAGATCACAGACAGTGTCTCTCGGGGCTCTGTACAGGGGGGTTTTTGACCCCTGCCAGGGTCCCAGACCTGCCAGGGCAGCCAGAGGGAAGCCCTGGATTCCCACAACTAAAAGAGGAGCTATTGAGATTAGATATTAGGAAGGAGCTCTTTGCTTAGAGGGTGGTGAGACACTGGCACAGGTTGCCCAGAGAAGCTGTGGATGCCCCTTCCCTGGAAGTGTTCAAGGCCAGGTTGGATGGGACTTTCAGCAACCTGGTCTAGTGGAAGGTGCCCCTGCCCGTGACAGGAGTTTGGAACAAAGTGACCTTCAAGGTTCCCTCCAACCCTCACCATTCTCCAGTTCTATGAATTTACCTTGGGCCTGTGACTGTCAGAGGCCGCGATCCAAGGTCCCACAGAGCTGTGCACTTCCAATTCTCTGATGGGAATGAATTTCCACCCCTCACCATTTCCAGGTGTGAGCTGTGCTCCTGAGCACTGCCCACGGAGGAGCTTTGCTCTGACAGGGCGCGGGAGCAGCCGAGGGGCCGCAGTGACGCCTTGTGGAGGCTGACCTGGAACAGAGACTAGATGGAACTAAAGAATAAAGTAGGGATTTATTAAGAGGCCTCAATAGTTCCACCTTGGGCAGCACAACCCAAAATGGCCACAAAATGCCTGACTAGTCATGGGGCCTCATACTTTTGTAAGTGTGAGAGAATTAGCTCCAATATGCCAATGTATTGTAAACGCAGACGAACCCAATGGGAAGAAATGACAATGTTTGACTCAATTCAGAAGGCTGAATTATTTCTTTATTATAACTATGCTAAAATACATTAATATACTATACAAAATGAAGATACTAAAACTACATACTACTTTCTCTGACTCTGTCTCTTAACTCTAATACAACTCGTGACCCTCTGGCAAGAGTCCAGCCACAGGTGGATTGGATTGGCCATCAGGCTCAAACAGTCCTCACCAGAATTCAATCAAGCACTCACTCCAGGTAACCAATTTTCCAAGCACATTCCACACAGGGAAAATAAGGAGCAGAAATAGAAATGGTTTTCTCTTTCATTTCTCTCTGTACACCTCTATGAAAAATCCTGAGAGGGAGAGAAATGTGCTTGCCATACTAATGGACCAGAACTTTTATAAATTCTGATCCATTAGCATATTGAAGCTAATTTTCCTATTACAGCTTAGCCCATGAAGTCCCATCTTGTTTTCTCTCTTCGGTCCAGCGTTGCTTTTGGGTCTGAGATCTGGATCGGCTGTCCTTGGTTCCCCAGCTAGAGAGAGAATTGTTACTATCCCCTAATATGAAGCCTAGACTTACACACTAAAGCAGAACAGAACCTGAAAAATATAAAAGCTAAAACCTGAGGCATCAACAGAAGCTGTCGGGACAAGACCCCCTCTCCCACCCGAACCTGGAGATGAGGAGGGGGCCTTGCAGACCCCCCATACCTCGTTTCACCGCTCGGGCACACGATGGGAGCCGGTGCGCTCCGAGCGCTGGGCTCGGCGGCTCCGCCCGGCGCGGGCTGCAGGAAAGGCGGCCCGACACTCCCCTCTGCTGTCCGCACACACCGCGGCACGGCTCCGCACACACACACACCGCGGCACGGCTCCGCACACACACACACACACCGCGGCACGGCTCCGCACACACACACACACACACACACACACACCGCGGCACGGCTCCGCACACACACACACACACCGCGGCACGGCTCCGCACACACACACACACACACACACCGCGGCACGGCTCCGCACACACACACACACACCGCGGCACGGCTCCACACACACACCGCGGCTCCGCACACACCGCGGCACGGCTCCGCACACACACACACACACCGCGGCACGGCTCCGCACACACACACACACACACCGCGGCACGGCTCCGCACACACACACACACACACCGCGGCACGGCTCCGCACACACACACACACCGCGGCACGGCTCCGCACACACACACACACACCGCGGCACGGCTCCGCACACACACACACACACACCGCGGCACGGCTCCGCACACACACACACACACACCGCGGCACGGCTCCGCACACACACACACACCGCGGCACGGCTCCGCACACACACCGCGGCTCCGCGCACACACACCGCGGCACGGCTCCGCGCCGCTGCCGGAGCGCCGCCCCGCAGAAACCCCCGCCGGGCTCGTTTGTCCGGCTAAAGCAGGAAATAAGTGTGTGTCAGAGGAGAGCAGCAGCATCGGTACTCATGTAGTACCTGGGTTTAGACACACGTGGATAAAAGCCATGGCAGTTTTTACTTAGTAACATCCCTTTCTCCCTGTCCCCAAAAGAAACGAGCTGCTTCTCTTCAAAGTTACTCTGCAAATTCCGCCAAATTTGCTCTTGCAAGTCCTGACTTCTTTGGACGCAAGGCTGGTCCTCTGGTGTTGGGCTTTGTTTGCTGGGTGTGGAGGGCAGGAGGCCATAAAACAAGGCAGATGGGTTCCTGTTTTATTGTCATGTTGGCTTGGGACAGTTCTACAGAGTGGTCTTTTTTATTTTAGATACATTTCAACATTTTAAAATAACTTTATTAGTAAAAGAATGTTCCAAGTCTTTCTTCTTTTTATCCCTACTACAAGTGCCCCATGCTGATTCTGCTTTTTCTTATAAAACCTGCTGCAATGAGGACTTTTTTGATAATGCAGCCATTCTTGACAGCACCCCTAAGCCACGAGGGGTGTCTTCCAACTGCAACATTCAGGACCTGGGAGATGGCACCTCAGTGAGTCTTGAGGAGCCCCACTGAGCTCATGGTGCTGCAGCTGCTGCAGGTCAGGCTGGGACAATTTTCCCTTCTCCAGGAGGCTCCTGACATGGCTCACCCACAGCTCATGGCTTCTCCTTGATGGCTTGTTATTAAAACTGTGCAAATACAGAATTCTTCATCCTATTAATCAAATCAGAAAGAAGGTCAAGTGGGTTCATTTTAGATCACTCAGAAGTGAATGTTTCTGGTAGTTTGGTTTGCTCAGCAAAATAAAAGAACTTCCCTGAAAGAAGTCTAAGGCCAGCCAGGGCTTCTTTATACCTGGATTTAACCCTAATGTCTGAAGCACTGGTGTGACTGTCTGCTGACTTGGGGTGACATTTGCAAACATTCCCCTTTAGTCCAAATCAACCTTTTTTTAGTGAGTAAATGATTGGTCCTGCCATGACCCAGTGCATCTATTCCAGAGATGCCCAAGTGTCACCCAGGGTCAGCTCGTGACTTTGGCATCATGTGCTCTTGCCCCAGACAGGCAGAAAGGCAAGTGTATGATTTCTAGACAGCTAGGAGACTTCTCTTCCAAAAATACATGAAGAAGTCCTCAGCTGCCACCCAGGTCTAGCTGTTCAGGAGCAGGGATGAGCAAGAGGTCCAGAACATGAGCCGAGGTCTGGATCTGCCCTCCTGTGCTTCCACCACTGCAGTGTGAGCATTTTTGTCTGTCCTGCCAAGAGGCAGGGCAGATGGTGTTCCTCATTGATTGAAAAAGGCAAATCAAGGTCCCACTAGATGCACCCCAGTTAGGGACTGGAACAGGGTTCTCACTTCCTTTGGAAGGTGAAATACATGAAATAAAACAAAAAAATAATATTCCATCAGCCTGCTCTTGTTCCTCTCTACTAAATATATATTCTACAGTCAGACAGTTCTGCATCCTATGACTCCTACTTCAGGGATCTTAAAATTCCTGCTGATTTCAGTGGGACTGGGTTCAAGCTGCTGGACCAGCAGGGAGCTTGTCCCTGGGCGGCAGCTGTCCCTGTGTGCTGCAGCAGGGCTCCCCAGCCCCCAGGACAGCATATTCCTGCCTGTACCAGAGCAGAGTACATCGTGTTTCGTCCTTGCAAAAGGTTGTTATAAATGGTTTCATTTCAAGGGAGCTCAATTAAATCTGGGAACTCTTGCAACAAGTTCACTCCTAATTGTGGCTTTGAAGACTTTGGAATAGTCAAAAGACAAATGGATGGTGAGGAATAAAGCAAACAACAGCAGGCATTTCCATGGTGTCCTCTTTGCTGCCTGTTAGCTGTGCCCTGTCACGTACGGAGTACTTCGAGCACTTCACCTGTCACTTCCAAGACTGTCACATTTCCCTTCCTAAGTTTCCATGTCTTTTAGGGAAGAAGCTGAGTATGCTACTTGCCAAAGGCACCATCCCATTGCCTTTGGGAGACAAGAAATTCTGAAAACAGACATTGCCGTACCTGAAACCGACCTGCAGCTTTTAAGCTCCTTCCCCAGGCCACAGGAGATGAGTCCACGCCAATGACTTCTAGCTAAGCATGGTAATGAAATCCTCAGGACATCAGTCTGGCAGATGCTTTTTAATGGGACCTGATTGTCCTGAGTGCTGAGAGTGGCCTGGTTTATTGGGGATTACAGCTGGCCTTGTTTCAACTTTCATCTCAGCTGAATGTGATCACCAAAGTCAGGTCAGTTCTCAGGGTGGGTGGTCTCTGTGCAAGCCAGTCCTCACAGTGAAAACCAGTATGTTTCTCCTTTCTCCCGGGGCTGGTCCTGGCCCTGGGACTGCCTTTCTGCAAGTAAAAGTAAGACCTTTACTTTCCTTTCCCCATTTTCTTCAGCTATAAAAACACACCTGTGGATAGGATTATCATAAACAACAATGTCATTAAATTGTGCCTTGGTCTTTGCTGCTTTTTTTGCAGTGACTCATACTGCAATTCTTACAGGTCAAACAGGAGCTAGAATTCAGCAATCACAGTCCTGGCTCTTCCCCATCCTAAATGCTGACCCACCAAGGCAATGGGAAGAGCTCTCCTGCAGATGACCCAGAGACATGAGGACCCTCAGCATCACCTCCTTCCAGTTAAAGCAACAGCAAACTGGTTGCTGGTTCCCTGTCAGCTTTAAGCAGTGGGTTTTGTTCTTTGGGAGCAGCCCCACGTGTTTCAGCAGCCTTGGTGCAGGGGCAAGGCTGGACCAAGTAAGGAATTAGGCTGGTTTCCCCCTCCTTGTCTTCCAAGCCCCTGTGCCACCGCGCTCACGTGTTGTGTCTGTGAGCGGGTGACAGCTCACATAATGCAGACTGGCAGGTGACCACGGGAAATGCAGCACGGGTCACGTCTCTGCAAGCCAGGCTCAGCCTAAGTCTCCCAAGATGCGTCACTAAGGCTCTTAGGACTAAATCCCTCCCTGCTGAAGTGCAGCCGGCAGCAGCCCCGCAGCAAGGATGCGCTCGGCCCCACTCCTGCCCAGATGTGGCCACAGCTCTTTGCATTGGTAGCACAGCTTGTCAAATTCCTTGTTTGTGAGCTCTCCTTAACCAGGGCTTAACCTTCCAGGAGCCCAGAGCAATGGAAAAGATTTTACCTTTCTGTACCTGAGAGCAAGGAATGCAGCTGGGGAGCGAGACCCTGCCTGCAGGCTGTCAGGAGGTTGTGACCATCCAGCAGCTTTGAGGGGGCTGCGATATGGGGAGTCTCACTTAGAAAAAACAGCTCTTGCACAGGAGGGCTTCACACCACTCTGGATGCACTTAAGCACTTCTCCCTGCCTCTTACAGGCAGGGAAAGGGACAAGGGATGGGAACCTAGCTGGCCCTTTGGCAGACAGGGGGTACAGCTGCCTCCCCGTTTGCTGTGCCTTTGCTGGGGGCAGGCACTGGCAGGGGGAAAGGCTGACCTTTGGGTGGCCATTCCCCATGGCAACTCTTTTACAAAAACAGCCAGCACTATCCAAGCTTCTCTCCAACAACTGTCCTGGGCTGTATACCCGCCCTGTCCTATCTCCACAGCTCTCATTTTTTGCCACTTGGATCCCAGCCACTCATCCATCTTGCATTCATCTCTCCCCATCCCTGCCTTTCCTTCTACCCTCCTCTCCTGCGATCATTACTAAATTGATCTTACTAGTCTCCATGTGGATTTCCTGCCAGCTGGAGGCAGGTCCTCACACATATCCTGGGCAGGCCTATTTCTGCCCCATCCCCTTGCTCCCCACACCTGAGAGGCTTGTATCCTCCCAGGGCAGAGGCAGGACACCCCAGTGCCTGGCAAGGTAAGTGACAGCACCTCTCATGTGATGGTGAGAGGGAGGCCTTATCCTTTCTTTCCCTATGAAAAAAAGGTAGCAATAACATGCAGAGCCCCTCCAGGCTGAGCAGACACCCTGGCAGTATTGCCCTACTGCCCACAGCAGCACTGATGTAACGAAGGGCCTTGTTTCACACAGACAGCAGCTTTGGAGACATTTAGTAATTAGTGCCAGAGAGAGCAAAGCTGAGAGCATTCCTGAAACTGCTCATTAAATCCCCAGGTCCTGGGAGTCCAGTAGCTGCCTGGTGGCTTCCCACACACGGCAGGAGCAGGCAGGGGACCAGGCTGCCCCAGTTCCCTGCCCGCCCTCCTGCCCACAGCCACCACCACTCTCAGCCCTCCACCCTCTAGTGGGGTGCCTCGTCCCTACTCTGAGGAGCTGTGTCCTCTCAGGCTGGATTTGGCCATGTGCAGCATCTCCAGCTGGGTGGGTGCTGGCCCCTGTTCTCTCTCCTCCTCGAGGATTTCTGCAGCGGTGGGGGCTGTGCCCAGACCCAGCACCCCGTGGCTTTGTGAAGCAGGCGGGTGTGTTTGTGGGGTGGCCTGGAGGCTGTATGGGAACATGTGATAGAAGCTTTTCTCCTGAAGGCCCTGCTGTTACACACAGGGCCGCTCTGCTCAGTCATGGTTTCATTTCTGGGTACACACAGATCGGGGCTGGAGCACAAGAGGCCATTTGTCTCTAGGAAAAGGTCGTACAAATGTTCTTTAATTACCTGGGGAAATAAGTGTTCAAAGCCATCCTTCAGAAGTTATAGCTCTAGGACACAGTGCCTGTGCTTGAGACCAGCTGGGTGTATATTATTGCTATGAGGACATTGCTTTACATTATTTGGAGGTGGGTTTGTCCCATCTGGAGTACAAGAAGCAAAGGGGTGGTCTGGCTACTGTCATCCACCTCCTGTGGGGGGCTGGTGAGAAGGCAGGGCCAGACCCTTCTTGGAGGCACAAATTGCAGAGGGAAGTTCTGTTTAGAGAGAAAGAAAAATGTTCACCACGGGGATAGTGAGGGCCTGGGCCTGTTGCCTGGGCAGGTGGTGGGATGTCTGCTCTGGGAAACACTTACAGGTCACCTGGACTGGCCCTCAGCTACCTGCTCAACTTTGCAGGCCAGCTTGGCTCCAAGCAGGGGCTGGACAGAAGGCCCTGGACCAGTCCTGTCTGCCCAGAGCTGCTTTGTGATTCTGTTATCCACATCCTCCACATCCATAAGATATTTCTGCAATTAACCCAAGAGATGCACTACAACACCAAGTCCTATAGCACTCATGTGGATGGGGCAGCATTGGGTCAATCCCTGGAACTCCCTAAAGCAATGCCTCAAACCAGCCTCACCATCCCAGCCCCCCCCACCTCCACAAGTTCCCCCGGCAGTCACAGTTCAGAGCAGACCTGGATTTATTAACCAGGTGAAAGCTTAGGAATTTCAGGCAAAGCTTTGGTCCATCTGATGGGTAGGTTTGTCAGCCAAGGTGTCTGAATCTTGAGTTGTGTGCAGGAGATGAGAGCAGAAGATGGTTCGGGGGCTTTGCAGTCCTGTTTCTGTGACACGGATGAATATGAGCGACTGAAGGACAGGTGCTGTGCCCAGCTGAGTATAAAAATACACTGTTCCATCCGTCTCCACATAATAAACACATTAAAAAGGAACAAGGTGTGTCTCCAACTGTCTCCAAGGCTTTACATGGGCCAAGCTACTTTTTTTTTTTTTTTTTACCTTTTTACAACAAATGGAAGTAGAGCAGTGAGTTGGTTTCAGGGGAGAGAAAGGAGTGGGAGGCAGAATATCACATCCTATTTCCTCTTTTAAACACTTGGCAAGGGAGAGAACTTTCCATTCCCATCTGGCACAAGCAGACTAAACACAGGTTCCTTTCTGATAGCCATCTGCACTCTTCTGCTACCTTTTCCCATCAGTCTTCTGCAGGCAAAATGCAAACCTGTACACTATTTAAAGATTCTCAGATTCAGGGTGTGTAACAAAATGATCCTTTTAGTTACCTTCTTTCCAATCACCAAGCTTCTAGTGCCAAGCCAAACAATAACCCAGTTAATCAACAGGCTCTGGACATGAAAGCAACTCCATTTCCTATTTGTGAATGCACAGATGTTGTTTATCTTGGATTCCCGTTGTTGGTCCCCCAGGATTAAATCACAGGCCTTTAGGTGGAGCATGAGTGATTGCTTTTCTATTGAAGCAGCTCACAGCAAGGCTTGGCCAGCCCTGCTGCTGTATCATCCTTCCCACCTGCCTAGTGCTGGGTCTCTCTGCTGGCCCTAGGGCTGCCCACAAGAGCTGGAGTGTGTCGTGGTGTTTGGGGGCATGGCTTGCCGACACAGAGCTGAGTTATCTCTGCAAGGACCTGCCCCTGGCACACCCTCAGGATGGTGGGGCTGATAGTTCTCAAGGCCCAGGCGAGGCTGGGTCAACACTGGCGCTGATAAAGGAGATGAGTTTCCTTGCAGACACAGATGTGAGGCCTGATTCCTGTGCAGCGCCATGTCCAGCCAGCCAGCCCCACCTTGCAAGCCCGGCATGGTTTGGCCAGGTCACGGAACACCATGTTTCAAACAAGGTGCTGGTTTTGATATGGTGCAGTAGCTGGTGCTGCTAGGAAAAAGCCATCCCTGGTCAGGCCTCTGTGCCATCCCCTGCTCCCAGGCACCACAGCTGAGCTGCAGTTTTGACTTTGTCCAACATAACCCAGGAAATCTATTGGCTCCCTCTGCGAGCACGCTGGGCCTCCATGTGTCCTGTGGTGGTGAGACCGTGTGGTCCACAGTCAGGTGAGTGAGACAATTCCTCCTCTATACAAACTGAGGTGCTCTGAAGGTCCAGGCACATTTGCCACCTAATGCCAACCCCAGCCACCTCGCTCAGCCCTGGCAGGGGAGCTGCCAGTTCTCCTGCCCACTTATACAGCCTTTCATTTCAAGTGGAGAAGGCCATCCTCATCCTCCCCCATGGCTGTCAAACTGCTGCAGAGCCAGGCTGGCATGGCCTCATCTGCAAACCCTCCTGTAGGGGTGGTGCACCACGGAGGCGCTGGCAATGCTCGTGCGTGGGGTCCGTGGAGCATTTTAAGAGGCTTCCTGTGGGACGAGTGCCACTTCTTGCAGCATCGGTTGTGACTGCACTCACAACCTACTTCCTCGGCTGCCAAGTGCTCTCTTGCAGAGCCATGGTGATACTTTTCCATATTGCAGAAACACCCCGACTGCAAGACTAAGCTGGTGGCGGCTGAGGCTGTGTTTGGAGACACCTTCCCACCCACAAACCCTCTGCTGCCGTCTGCCTAGCGAGCGGGAGAGCCCACCCGCAAACCCGGCACGCAGGCTTGCTCCGCGGCTGCGAAGCGCCGAGCGGCCCCGCTCAGTGCGGGGCGCGGCCCGTCCGTCTGTCCCGCACCGAGCACAGATGGATGCGCGCAGATGCGCCGCTCCCGCAGGGGATGCGCAGGGCCGGCCGCTCCCGCTGAGGATGTGCAGGGCCGGCTGCTCCCGCAGGGGATGTGCAGGGCCGGCCGCTCCCTCTGAGGATGCTCCTGCAGGGCCGGCCGCTCCCGGCAGGGAGCGTGTCCCGCACGCCGTGGGAGCCAGAGGAGGCGCGGGGGGATACAGAGCGGATGGAGAGCCGTGGATCGAGACTTCGGCAGCCGGCCGCTTTCCCTGCTCCCCCATCTGGACACCAGAATGACTCGGAGACCCGGACGAGCATCAGTTCGTGCCGGCGGTTCACGCTCTGGACGCGATTTCCCCGCAGG